CAAAGAACAAATCATAAGCACAAACAAGAGGCATTTCCATTTCCTGATTCCAAGTTATACTATAAAACTATAGTCCCCAAAGCAGTATAATACTGGCATAAACAAAACACACACAGATCAATAGAACAGAATTGAGAGCTCAGAAAGAAACCAAAGCTTACACAGTCTACTGATGTTTGACCCGGAAGCCAAAAATATCAATGGAGAAGAGAGTCTCTTTAAATTGGTGCTGAGAAAATTGGATATTCACATGTAAAAGAATGAAATTGGGCAGTATCTTACAGGACTCACAGAAATTAACTAGAAATGGATCAATCACTGAAATGTAAGACCTGAAACCAAGAAACTCCTAGGAGAAAAAATAGTTTGAATTAAGCATCTTTGACACAGATCTTGGCAAAAATATTTTGGAGATGACACCTAAAGTATAACATTTTCAAGGTTCATCCACGTTGAAGCCAAGTATCTTAACTTCACCCCTTTAAACAAAATACTCCATTTACTTACTGCATTACATTTATCCATTCATCTACTGATTAACACTTGAATTGTTTTTACTTTTTGACATTAATATTACTGCTACACAAGTATTTGAATTCTTGTTTTCAATCCATTTAGGTATACACCTTGGAGTAGAAGGAATCCCTGGGTCCGATAGTAATTCTGTTTAGCTTTCTGAAGAACAGCGGTAATATAGTTTTACAACCCAAGTACATTGTCTTTTGGTAAACACAACAGTCTCAGGAGTTTGTACACATCTACAAAGTAATTTCTGGGTAGATTTCCTTACTTTCTAAGCAGCCAGGCTCCAGATGCTGATCTTATTTCCAGGAACTTGACACTGGCTTGGGTGCTATTTTGACTGCGCTGACTCCAGTTTCCCAGTTCTCATTATTTGCAACACTGCCTTTATTCACAGAAGGACAAGCACACTGCAGTGGTAACTCTCCAAACGAAAATAGTAATGAAGTTAAATACCATTCAGTGGGTGATGTCAGTAGTATTTTTAGCACATTTAGTAACATCAGATGAATGAAAGATACATAAATGGAAGGGTATTTTTCAGCAAGTGAGATGATTCAGGATTCCGCAAATGACTTCTGTTGAACCTATTTCTTATAGCCAAACAACCATTTAAATCATGCTAGACTTGCAAGAGATGTATATGCCTTTGCTGTTCCAAGGAAAGAATCTCTTCTCTTTAAGGTTAGCAGCCAGAAACTGCTAAATTGACTACTACCCACCAATTCCAGAAAAATTTGTAAAGCCAGAAAAATACAGCAATTGCACATTCACAGGGACTATCTGGGAGGATACATGCAAAAAATTAAGTTTGCTGAATCTTTTTTACAAGGAGCAGGATAGAAGGTCATTATGGGAAGTTTCACTTTTTACTCTGCCATTTTTGCATTTCAACTTTTCACAAACAAGCATTTCTGTATTATTGTGTAATGATTTAAAATTGCATTTAAAGAAACAAACAATAAAAGGCAATGATGTTTAAAAACAAAGAAAGATGAGCTATTAAAAGGAGCTAAATGGAAAATTCTAAAATTCACTAACACATTAAGAAAACTCTAGTCTCACTTGGACTTTACCACATGCAGTAGGCCAGTTAAGGTAATGGAACCTTTTAATAAATAAGGAAAAGAACGTTGACAAAATATAACTTCTTAAACAACTGCATTTTATTTTCTAAAAACAAAAACAATGGTCACTTTAACCTTTAGGTGATCTTTCAAAAAAAATGATTTAACTGTAAAACTTTTAAAGCTAGTTATTTGATTACTAAGGTTCTCCTAAAAAATTAAAAGACCACTGACTTAGCTCTGCATATTTAAGAAACAAAAATAATGGTAAAAATGTAATAAAGTCATAAAAATTTATTTTTATTAATCTCTACCATACCTGAAATGTTAAACAATTTCTCAAAAACTTTTTATACCAAAAGTGCAGCCTTCCAAGAATCTGAATTTTCAGGTTTTCAATCACTATACAAATGGTATACTCATAATACAAACATATCCAGTAAAGTTTGAATCTGTTACGTAAAATACTGTCATATACTGTCTACAGACATTTATGTCCACTGAGATAACTTGTTACATAGCTGTAACAAGTCAATTTAGCCAAACTTGAGACCTACACTATAAATAGCAGCTGCAAAACCCACTCTAATGGTCCAGGGTTCACCAGCTATCAAAAAGGCAGTTTTACAATCCAAGATAGGGCATGCTTCAGGGAATCACCACAGCAGTGAAAATATTTTTTGAGTCAAGATACATAGGAAAACATCTAACCAAATGCAAAGTATGTAAGTTGGGAGACTATTTCACCTGTGTGAGTGTATGTACACAAGTCGTTGAAAGATACTGAAAATTTTGATATGATATATAAAAAATTTTTAAATAGTCACTTAAAATATTTTTGCTGTAGTCATTGAATAGAATGTGTATTCTGTTCCAAAAGAAAATATGTAACATAATAAACATGAAGGATTTGAACTATAACATATTTAGCAACTGCATTTCACACAAGTTTTGAAGCTCAGTAATTTCTAATCCAAATGTTTTTGACAAGTGCTAAAATTAGCAAACACAAGCCGTGTACCACCAAGAGAAGAAATTTCTCCCACTGATTTGCAATAATCAACTGTTTATTGAGGGGTTATTATGTGCCAGCTACTATATTTTAATAAAGCAATGTTGTTTAAATTTAAAACCAAACACTGAATATTAAAGGCAGTCCTATGACAGTTAATACTTAAGATACATTAACTAAAAACCAATTACTTAACTCACTCAAAACAGTTGACAAAATTAGTTTCATAAAAACCAAGCTATCAAGCTCTTACTAACATCAAAAAATATAAACATTCATGTATTCACTTTATCATTAATACATTTTAATTGAAAGTAAACTTCAAAAAGTAGTCCCAACTGAATTATCCATTTTAATTTCCAACAATAAAGTACATTAAATTCCCAATTCAAGCCCATAAGATACCAACACAAAACCAAATTAATTTCAGTTAAGTAACATATTGCTATATAACACTAAGATAAGACAGTAGCACTAGTTAAGTCAACCAAATGTAGAAACTGAAACTCATTTTAAGAAGCCCCACAGGAAAATATCTTCAGAAAATAAAGCAGTTTTTCTCTTTAAAAGTCAAGATAGTATACATTCTCTTACAAAGTAAAGATGCCTGGCTTTTCGTCTGAATTCAAAGGGACACCTTTTCCAAATATTTAAGTCCATCGAAGTTTGTCTCCCATTACTAATCACCCGAAGGGCCATTCAGTTTGATGCTTCACCTGATCACAGGTAGTATTCAAAGGTTTCACCTTGAAGGGGTAATTAGGAGGGTTTTTCAAGGATAAATCCTTCTACAACTTCAGCTGCACAAATGTCTCACACATGAACTCAGCAAAAACTGTGAGACTAAAGTGTATTTATCCTATTTTTTAAAGATTAATCCCATGAAAACCTTAAAAGTGTTTGCAATTTTAAATATTTGCACTTACTTGAAAAAAAGCCATCATGTTTTGGTAAATATTGCTAGTTTTAAAACCATGCTTTTAAAATGTAGTAATTTGATCAGCTAAAGCTGTCTGAACTCACAAGATACACCTGACTGAGAGTAGACACCTACAAGGAGCATTACCTACCCAGCAGATATGCCCCGGGCAACACACAGCTTGGACTCAACACAACCAACTCAAAGACAGATGTAGGCTTCCGCTTCCATCTGACAACTCCAATTAAAAAGGAAAAGATCACAGCCTTAAAGCTAAGTCTTACCTATTTCTCCATTTTCTCAACAGTCTAAGAGAGTCTTCATAGACATGAAAATAAAAACCCTCAAGAATGATTAAGAGCATTTCAAATTCAAAATTACTTTCCTTTTACAAAACAGGACAAAATTTTACCAAACACACCACACCTGACCCACATGAAGAACACACGTAGCCAAAATAGGACCATTAACCTTTCTATTTAGTACACTAACCATAGTTTAGTTTAGAAAGCAAGTATTTAGAAACTAAAGTTTAGAAAGCAAAGTATTTTCCTTGAGCTTTTTAAACCTGAACACTTCCACATTTAAGTGGATAATCAATGAAGATTTTCTTGTCAACTTCTACCCCTATCTGTATAGGTTGGGAAACCTGAAATTTCTCATCCCTTTCCAATACCATCCTAAGGCCTGAGAATTAGGCTAAATGTTGTACTTAATTTTTTAACTACAAAAATAACAAAATCAAAGTTTCCCCCCCTTTAAATGGTTCAAGAATAACAAGTCCTCCATCACTACACAGTTGATTAAAGTCAAGTTTTTCATCCTGACTCAACCATAGCAAAATGGCTATTCGAAATAACATCAAGTCGCCAAGAAAACCTTCAAAAGCTCCTGTCAAATTATTTTGAATTTTAAACACATATATGTTGTCCGAGAAAAGCAATTCTGAAGAAAATCATCCGATGAAAGAGTTTATATTTGTAAAATAACTTAAACCCTTTTTATCAAAGCCACAAACCATTTCTTGAATTGATCTGGCAACAAACAACTTATATACAAATTTGAGAATCCAGAATTTGACTTACGTCTGCACTCAATTAGCTTAGTAGAGTGTTTAAGTAACAAGAGCAAAGCAATTTCCCAAAACTATACCAAGCATCTAAACGGTTTTACATCATCCTTAATGACAAATCAAAAGGTTCACCATGAGACAACCATACATCCTTAACTTCATTTTACAGTATAGCTTTGGATACATTTTTTACACGTGTCCACTTCAACTAAATACATTACTTCAACCCAGATTGAGATTGTCAGTGGCTCAGCACTGCAGTTCTACTCAGGTTAACAGACTTGAGCTGTTAACATTCAGCAAATATAAAAGTAAATGCTTGTAATACAAAGAAAAAAAAAAATCAACACAAAGGTTGGGAGAACTTTAAATGCGGGGGGGGGGGGGGGGGGAGGAAAAGCAGCTCACCTGCAGTTAGGCGGAGGATCTAAAGTGATGTCTGCCAGTTCCTTCTGAATCCTGGAGTCGGGAAGAGAGAAAGAAACGCAGAAACGTCAGGCGTCGGAAGCCTCCCACCTGAACTGTGCTGTCTGGCTGACAACCTAAGCGCCTGCCATGCATGATATCTGGATTCTACTGCAGGAGGATGACGCTACACACGCGGCTCGGGTCGGGTCCGTAGCTTAAGGAAACATCTTCGGTCCCAGAGGCAGAGAAGGGTCGGGGGCTCCTCCTCCCCCAGAAGGTGAGAGTCCCGTGTGGCTCGCACACTCGAGGCAGTTTTTCCGCCGTCACCACTTAAGGAGTCGCTTTTCAGCGCCTCACCGGCGGGCTAGTTTCCTGAATTTCAGTGGAATGCGTCGGGGCACATTCACCCTTCCCCGGCTCCTCCTCTCCCCTGACGGAGAAAG